AGGGGGGAAGGGAGAAGTGAGCGTAGAGGGAGAATAACAATTAATGTAAGGCAAAGCAGCAGGTTAGCAGGTGACGAGAAAGCTTCAACTCCATTGAAAATTAGGAAAAAAGTTAAAGGGAAGGAGAACTCAAGAGCAGTTAGTAATGGAGGTAATAGGACCCAAAAAGAAGGTGCAAAAACTGGCATAAAGGCACTTTATCTGAATGCTCGGAGCATTCGAAACAAGATGGATGAGTTGATGGTGCAAATCATGGCAAATGGGTATGATTTAGTGGCCATTACAGAGACATGGTTACAGGATGGTCATGACTGGGAGTTAAATATCCAGGGGTATCAAACTATTCGGGAGGACAGACAGGAAGGTAAGGGAGGTGGTGTTGCTCTGATTTTTAAGGATGATATCAGGGTGGTAGTGAGAGATGATATAGGTTCTACTGAACAAAACATTGAATCCATTTGGGTGAAAATTAGGAATAGCAGGGAGAAGAAGTCACTGATAGGTGTGGTCTGTAGGCCACCAAATAATGACATTGTGGTGGGGCAGGCAATAAACATAGAAATAGCTAATGCATGTAAAAATGGTACAGCAATTATCATGGGGGATTTTAATCTACATATCGATTGGTCAAACCAGGTCGGTCATGGCAGCCTTGTGGAGGGTCTCATAGAATGCATCCGCGATAATTTCCTTGAACAATATGTAATGGAACCTACGAGGGAGCAAGCTATCCTAGATCTAGTCCTGTGTAATGAGACAGGAATAATTAATGATCTCACAGTTAGGGATCCTCTCGGAAGGAGCGATCACAGTATGGTCTAATTTAAAATACAGATGGAGCGTGAGAAGGTTAAATCCAGTACCTATGTCCTGCGCTTAAACAAAGGAGACTATGATGGGATGAGGGAGGAGTTAGGTAAGATAGAATGGGAGCAAAAACTTTATGGTGGGTCAATTGGGGAACAGTGGAGGACTTTCAAAACGATTTTTCACAGTGCTCAGCAGAAGTATATTCCAGTGATAAGGAAGAACGGTAGGAAAAGAGAGAGCCAGCCATGGATGTCTAAGGAAATAAAGGAAAGTATCAGATTGAAAAAAAAACACATACAAAAAAGCAAAGAGTAGTGGGAAACTAGTAGACTGGGAAATCTTTAAAGGCCAACAGAAAGCCACTAAAAAAGTTATAAAGGAAAGTTAGATAGATTATGAGAGTAAACTAGCTCAGAATATAAAAACAGGCAGCAAAAGTTTCTATAAATATGTAAATCGTAAAAGAGTGGCGAAGGTAAACATTGGTCCTTTAGAGGATGAGAAGGCCAATTTAATAACTGGGAATGAGGAAATAGCCGAGACATTAAACAGTTATTTCGTGTCGGTCTTCACAGTGGAAGACACAAATAACATGCCGAAAACTAATGGCAAGAAGGTTATAACAGGTGAGGACCTAGAAACTAACTAAAGAGGCAGTGCTGGGCAAGCTAATGGGGCTAAAGGTAGACAAGTCTCCTGGCCCTGATGAAATGCATCCCAGGGTACTAAAAGAGGTGATGGGGGAAATAGCAAATGCACTAGTAATTATTTACCAAAATTCACTGGACTCTGGGGTGGTTCCCGCAGATTGGAAAACAGCCAATGTGATGCCACTGTTTAAAAAAGGAAGTAGACAAAAAGCAGGTAACTATAGGCCAGTTAGCTTAACTTCAGTAGTGGGGAAAATGCTTGAATCTATCATTAAGGAAGAAATAGCAAGACATCAGGATATAAATTGTCCCATTGGGAACACCCAGCAAGGGTTCATGAAGGGTAGGTCATGTTTAACTAATTTGGTGGAATTCCTTGAGGACATTACTTGCATGGTGGACAGTGGGGAACCTGTGGATTTGGTGTATCTGGATTTCCAGAAGGCATTTGACAAGGTGCCACACCAAAGGTTGCTACATAAGATAAAGTTGCACGGTATTACAGGTAATGTATTGGCATGGATAGAGGATTGGTTGACCAGTAGAAAGCAAAGAGTAGGGGTAAATGGGTGTTCTTCTGGTTGGCGGTCAGTGGCTAGTGGTGTGCCTCAGGGATCAGTGTTGGGATCGCAATTGTTTACAATTTACATAGATGATTTGGAGTTGGGGACTAAGTGTGGTGTGTCAAAATTTGCAAATGACACTAAGGTGAGTGGTAGAGCAAAGTGTGCAGAAGACACTGAAAGTCTGCAGAGGGATATAGATAGTCTAAGTGAGTGGGAAAAGGTCTGGCAGATGGAGTACAATGTTGATAAGTGTGAGGTCATCCATTTTGGTAGGAATAACAGGAAAGTGGACTATGTTTTAAATGGTAAAAAATTGCAGCACACTGCTGTGCAGAGGGACTTGGGTGTCCTTGTGCATGAATCACTAAAAGTAGGATTGCAGGTGCAGCCGGTAATTAAAAAGGCAAATGCAATTTTGTCTGCCATTGCTAGAGGGATGGAGTTTAAAAACACGGAGGCTATGTTGCAGCTGTATAGGATCCTGGTGAGGCCACACCTGGAGTACTGTGTGCAGTTTTGGTCTCCTTACTTGAGGAGGGATATACTAGCACTGGAGGGGGCGCAGAGGAGATTCACTTGGTTGATTCCAGAGTTGAGAGGGTTGGATTACGAGGAGAGACTGAGTTGACTGGGATTATACTCATTGGAATTCAGAAGAATGAGGGGAGATCTTATAGAAACATATAAGATTATGAAGGGAATAGATAAGGTGGAGGCAGGGAGGTTGTTTCCGCTAGCAGGTGAAACTAGGACTAGAGGGCATCGCCTCAAAATAAAGGGAAGCAGATGTAGGACTGAGGTCAGGAGGAACTTCTTCACCCAAAGGGTTGTGAATCTGTGGAATTCCCTGCCCAGTGAAGCGGTTGAAGCTACCACACTAAATGTTGTTAAGGCAAGGCTAGATAAATTTTTGAACAGTAAAGGAATTAAGGGTTATGGTGAGTGGGCGGGTAAGTGGAGCTGAGTCTCAAAAAGATCAGCCATGATCTTATTAAATGGCGGGGCAGGCTCGACGGACCAGATGGCCTACTCCTGCTCCTAGTGCTTATGTTCTTATGATGAAAATTTAGGCAACGGATTGTTCGATCATCCATGAATCCAACAAATCATTGTACCAATTTCCCTTCCATTGGTCACTGCAGTTCTGTGACAGCTCTCACCTTGTCAGGAGTCCTTTCACTGTCAGTACATGACACATATACTCCAATTCAGATATCCTCAGTTGCAACTTTTTTGTTCAGCTTCAAATAAATCTGATGAACTCCCTCTAGCAGTCATACTAGATTCTCAATGGCTTCTTCCATTGCATCTCCATGTCCATAGACTAGCAAATCAACAATGATAGCTTCCATTCCAGAAAGATTATTGACTATCTCATGCTGTCTGCATTGATGCTTCACCAGAGCAGTGGAAATGCCAAATGGCATGCACAACCATATTATCTCTTGAATGGCATCCAGAATGTCGTTAGAAAACTGTTGCTTTACCGGTTAAAAGTCATAGAGTTATACAACATGGAAACAGACCCTTCAGCCCAATTCTTACATGTTGACTAGGTTTCCTAAACTGAACTAAGCCCATTTGTCTGTATTTAACCCATGTTCCTATTCATGTACTTGTTGAAATGTCTTTTAAATGTGGTAATTGAAGTTGTCTGTATCACTTCCTGTGGCAGTTTGCTCCATATACACGCTACTATCTGTGTGAAAAAATTGCACCTCAGGTCCCTTTTAAATCTTTCCCCTGTCAAACCTATGCCCTCTAGACTTCTGGACTCCCCTATCCTGGGGAAAGACCTTGGCAATTCACCTTATCTATGCCTTTCATGATATTGCAAACTTCTATAAGCTCAAGGGAATAAAAGTCCCAGCCAATCCAACCTCTTTTTATAACTCAAACCTTCCAGTCTTGGTAACATCCTTGTAAATTTTTTCTGCACCCTTTCCAGTTTAATAACACCCTTGTTATAGCAGGGTGACCAGAATTGTATGCAGTACTCCAAAAGTGGCCTCACTATCAAGGGTAGTAAAGACCTTTGCCTTCGCAAGTTGAGATAAAGATGCTTCAATGGATGGCATGGAGCAGTGGCTGGTTCTTTCATATATCTGAAAATCTAGCTGCACACTTCTGCTACCATATTTTGTGTAGTGATTTTAATAGCTATCCAATCTAAACGGAAAGCACCTTACAACAGAGATCACATGACTCTGGCAAGTGTACAGTGTCTTTACAACTGCATTGTTCCAAACAATGAGCACTATCTCATCACCTTCAAATGAACTTTTTAATCTATCCTCTGAATTAGTGTGAGTCCCTAAACTGTAGTTATGAGTGTGAGAATGGACAATGATAGTGATTCTTTATCATCCCTGTCTCCTTTCCCTTCCATCTGTTTCTTTCCACAACACAAAACTAAAATATCAGAAAGTTGATATAAAAATGGAAAATGTTAATGAAAGAGCTAATGTTTCAGGTCTGAGCTCCCTTCTTGTGTCTGATCAAGCATTTATGAAAACCTGTCTTTAGAGTGACCATTTATTTTCTTTCCTCAGTCACCGTGTCTGCCTCTGATTTATTTCTCATGGATTCCATTGGAAACTTTATCTTTCAGGTTTCGATAGCACTCACAAATGTAGAAATGTACAAGATATTCAGCATTTCTCAAACCACAACTCTTACCACATTCTGCAATTCACTTTCAATGAAATGCATCACTTCATACAGACTCTCACACTTTGAACGTTGCTGAAAAAAGCAACAATGTAGCATGAAAAATATTGACTGCTAAGAATTACACTAACAACCAAGTTAAGGTTATCAGTCAGATTCACAATGTGGCTCAGTTATGCCTGCTTGAAGCTACATATATTCATATGCAGGGACATAGCCACTACAGGAAAAAGGAGTGTGTCCTGTCAAAATATCTTTCCCAAATTAAAAAAAAATGGGGACAGTAGTTCTCCGATGAACTCACCATGGTAACACTCAACCAGAGTCAACTTTTCAACGAATCTGCACTTTTCTCACGAAATGTGCATTTTTCTCTGTGAAATTCGATATTCTTGCATCTGTCCTGATAAGAGCAAAGCAAAAAAAGCTTCAACAGCATGTTTCATTTCTTTTACCGTGCTGATAGATAGCATATTTAGCTATATATACTGTTTACCTGGTCAGAATCAATTATAGATTTCTTCAAGTTCCTGCACCAGCCATAGTACACCTTCTTTTTAAAAAGTGCTGCCTAGCTTTAACTGCTCTCATGATTTTTGACTCCCTACTGAGGGTTGCAACTCCTCAACAGTGCAGTTAGTGGTGGGCTGTGATTGTTTTAATTTAGACTTAATTAAAATAGAATTGGAATAATTGATCCAAGATAAAGAAGACCAATTTTCTATGTTCTTGAAGGCCTAGTTCATAAGGAATCAGATAAACTCTGCATTTTATGAAACAAACACAATCTGAGCGGCCACCTCTCAGCTGTTCAGATTGTCTGGTAAATTGTGCACCCTTATCTTAGTTGCTGCAGCCTACAACCCAACAGTTTCTGGCTAGACATCAGCAATGGACACAACATCCTCTTCAGCAACCGGTTTTCCTGCATTGAATTATCTAAAAATAGTTGCTCCATTTGTCAAACTACTTGGCAATTCAGTTGTAGTTGTTTTAGCTTAATTTTGTATTGAATTAGAGCAAGGAATGTAACACTTTCCACTGAAAAGTGGTCAGGAAGGCTCAAAGATCCTGAAAGTGCCACTGGGAACTCTGCTCACCTTGTCCAGCAGGAACCTTGCATCCAACCTTTGATCAGCCCCAGGGATGCACCAGGGAAGCCTCATCTAGCAAAGGTTTTAACCCTCTGCATCCATTATTAATGAGTTTGAATGGTACAGAAGTCCAAAATACTATAGAGAAGCAAATAACCTAAACATAGCCGTTAAAAGAAAGAACTTGCATTTATATGAGCACCCTGCCATTTCCACAGGAGGGTCCACGATGCTCAGCTGTCAATGAAGCACTTTTGAAATGTGGCAGCTTTCTAATACTCCTCAGATTCAGAAGGTACCTTTTACAGCAAACTATCGTAAATGGACCAGCTAATCTGTGTACAACAAGATTCCATAAACAGCAAGAGATCTGATCCATTTTAAGAGATAGATATTAGCCAGGAAATCAGGAACAGCTCCCCTGCCCTTCTCCTAAATAGCATCATGGGAATTTTTACATCCAGCTGAGATGTCAGACAAAGCCTTGGTTTACCATCTGCAGTGAAATGTCCAACTCCAATCTTTGAGTGATATCATCTCAGAAGGGATAAACAGACCTGAGGCATGCTCATTTCTCTCTGATCAAGATTTCACAGCGAGAGAACAAAGAATAGAGAGCAGAGCCACATTTCATCCTTTTTCTCCCCCACCATTATATCTCAGGTCACACTGAATCTTTTCTCAACTCTCTGAAGGCCTGTAATGTTAAACATTTTGGGTTTTGCATTACAGGAAACTTGCAGAAATGTAGCCCAACATAGTATGCTTCAGATTAAGCACCAGATACTTGAGATGCAAAGAAAATTGGCCTTTGAAATGGTTACATATTTTATATGAAAACAGAAAGTATTGAAGAAACTCAGTAGGTCTGACAGCATCTGTGGAGAAGAAACAGAGTTGACGTCCAAAGTCCAGAATGACTCTGCTTCAAAACTGATGGAGGATGAAAAATAATGTTTTTTTCATGCTGTTGACAAAGAGGGAAGAGTATTTTTACAATGATATCATCCTCTACTACGATTTGTCTTTTGCTCTGGGCACTCTCATAATCTGTTCCACTTGTTCCTTCTCTTTTTGTCAATAATCATGGCTAAATTGTGGAAATGTTTCCAGAAGAAATGTATGAGACAAATAGCATGGATAGATTTAAGGAAATGTGAGGTAAGCACACGAGGGGAAAACAAATCGAGGTATATATCAATGGGGTTAAGTGAGGAAAGATGGGAGGAGGCTTCTGCCTATATCTGTTGCGGTTGTTTCTGTACTGTCACTCCTTTCCTTGTACTGCTTCAAAGTATCAGAAGCTACTTTTTACAACCAAAACTGTATATGAGCTTAGCATTTTTATATACTCAACTTCCCACTCCAAATCCAAAATTTTAAACTAAGAAAGGCAGCAATATGGACTAAAGGAACACACATTTATCAACCTAACTTGAAGCTTTAATTGCTTATGTTGTTATCAAATTAATAATTAGTTATTATGCAATAGAACGTTTAAGATATGTGTAGAGGATGAAATGAATTGGTTGTTTACACTAGTTGAGAATGGTAGACAGTCCATCTCACGTTATGGCTGAATAATTTAATATCCATGAAGATTCTGCCACAGTCATTGTGAATAAGAAATTAGCTGAGATACTGAATGGGCTAAAATTGACAAACAGGTATCACTTCTATTTGAGGACACTAAAGGAATATAAGTAAATGCACCCAAGCGCTCACACTCACAAATTCACGCACATAAATAACATACATAGGAGAGATCTGCCCACTAAAAGTCAAGGGATTTAGCAGGGGCCAATGCTGCAGTTGAGGAGCTAGGGAATTTAATTGTGAACATTGGAGGCAGCATGCTGGGATGTAGAATGAGGGCAACTCAATATATCAGGGCAGTGAGATGATGGAGCATTGAAGGAATAGGTAATTTGGAGGGGGTAGGGTCATTAAAAGTCAACAACACCCCGGTTTCCTTGGGGCAACAGTGCACTACAAGATCTAGCATGTTTATTAGACATGACTAGTGCTGGGAGGGGGTCTAAAGACAGGTGAAGATTTAAATAGATGAATTGTATGGGGACGAGGCGTAATTCAAAGTCAATAAGTGAGGATTACCAAGAAGGAAATGTGTACGTTTTTGTGTTTGCAAAGTGTGAGATGTTAAGTCTGAGGCTCGCTACATGAAGCTGCTGTTTCCTTCCATTGTGCTGTTAGTAACAAGTGCATAATAGAGTCGATGGCTGTGACCGCAGCTGGTGGGGGTGAGATAAATGTATCGTTCACTGAGGGAGAGAGCTTCACTTTTGAGTGTTGTAAAACCATTCAAAGAACAAAGCATTACACAGACACCTTTGCAGCACAGGTAAAAGACGCCTGTGAGCAATAACATATAATGTGATCCTTCGTCATTAGCCTACTGGTGGAGTCCGAATCCTGGCTGACCAGATCACATTTGATCACATCATTATGCAGCATCAAGAATAAACCCCACTGACGGCAATGTTTTGTTATCTGGATATACTGACCCCACTTTCCAAAGTAGCAATCACATTCCACATTTCAATAACCTACACATGGTGCAGGAGCTGCTCACTTCACACGTTGGACCATTGAACATCATATAGTGGTGAAGGTGACTCAGCTCTGAATGTTTAATGTTGTAGCGCCTGGAAGACAGGCATCTGCTCCCACAGCTGATGAAGGAAAGTGAACATACATTCAGAGATGTGACAGAGTAGTTACAGTGGACTGTCATCTATGCCCTCTGGACATTGAGAATATATTGTTAACGTGCCACATCTTCTGCCCCTTAGTCACAACACATTCTCTCTTTTAGAGATAGTAAGAACTGCCGATGCTGGAGTCTGAGATAACACAGCATGGAGCTGGATGAACACAGCATGGAGCTGGATGAACACAGCAGGCCAGGCAGCAACAGAGGAGCAGGAAAGCTGATGTTTTGGGTTAGGACCCTTCTTCAGAAATAGTGTTCCTCCAGCTCCACACTCTGCTCCCGATTTCTGAAGAAAGGTCCAGACTCAAACCATCAACTTTCCTGCTCCTCTGATGCTGCCTGGCCTGCTGTGTTCCTCCAGCTCCACACCTCGTTAACACGTTCTCTCTTTTGTCTCCTGCAGGTAGAAGCAGGATTTTCCTGGTCAAAGGGGGGACCACACTGAAAGACCTCCTCCCCTCTAGCTCTGTGGAAAAGAGCACAGATGTCTCAGAGGATACACCAGCAAGACGGCCTCCTGCACACCCACAAGCTTCAATATTGACACCTCAATGGGTATACTCACTAGATTACAGTCAGGAACACATGCTGGTGAGCACGTCTCCACAGCTGGCACAGGGAGAATTGCCCCAAGTCACTGGCATGCGGAAAACTGCCAGTGATGAGGCATGTGCTCTCACACGCTATGTCATTTCAGAAGGTTTTCTTCTTTCTCTCCCTCCGATACATCTCGTTTTAGTCCGAATGTATGCAACTAGGCTGAAGGGGGCCTGACCGACATTAAAGCCTATAGGCCTTGGAGATTTGGTTGGGCAACTGGAGGACCCAGGCAGTCTGAGTGTACGTCCATCAATAGGCTGGGTCACCCTTCTCAGCATAATTCCCTCAGGGCTGAGGCTGAAAGTGGAAGGCTGGTGACCTCTGGGATTTCCTGACACGAGATGTCTGGGGAGTCTGTGTACAGTTCCTCTTCTGTCCGGGTCTGTTTTGGCATTGCCTTGTCTCCTTGTGAAGAAGGGCCACCTGGAGTGAGCTCCAAGTCCCTTATTCTCCTCTCCCTTGCAGTTGATGCTAGAGGGTTGGAGAGCAGGTCTGGGCACATATTCAACAGATTCTTAAGAGTGCTTGACCCAGCTGTCTAGCACAGTCGCGCCCAAAGAGATAGCCAGTTGCCTGTATGCCCGAGAAAGTAGGGTCCCAATCACATTGCTGCAATCTTGTAACCTTTGTGTCAGGTTGCCCTGTGCTCCCAACTAAGCTGCCTGCTGCTCCTGTGTCTGCCTATGTGCACCAATACAGTTGGTAATGGCTGGCATCAGGTCGTCTTCTACTTCCCAGACTGAGCACATGCCTGGTCTCCAGCAGTTCTCTGAGTGCCAGTGGGCACTTCTTCCTTGGCCATCTGCAAAATGTGGCAATGATGTGTTCATCAGCAGGTACTGCCAACTCTAATCTAGTTAATGGACCAGCTGAAGTGTCAGTGCCTGAGCTGGTGAAAGGTGTAGGAGACAGCCTTGTCAGTGCATCTTCTGAGGCATCTGTACTCTCTTCTTCATAGCTGGAGGAGGGGAAGTT